CAAAACGCATCTTGTTCATGTTCGTAACACTAGTGGTATAAATATCTTCAGTGCTTTGGGACAATGCTCTCATGCCCTCAGAATGAAATCTATCGCGTGTGTGCCATCACGGGTGCCATCATATGATTGAACAGAAATGGGAACACATGGAAGAAATCACGAGTTAGAGGAACGACGAGAGAATGAAGGGGGACTCAAACTAGGATGGGTTGTCAGGTTCTATGGTCACGATTCTGCGAGCGATTGAGTTTGGCGGGATCGACAGCCCAGATAAAAAATATTTTCAACCAGCACGCGCGCCTGTTGCGTGGCAGAAAAGAAGGTGGGGGAGGATGTCAGGAGTTGCGTCGACAGCGGAAATTCGTCGATAGAACACTTGGTGATAAACGAGGAGTGGCATCGATCAACCCACGCTCGTATGGGGGCTTGAGAAGAAAACTAAACAGTAGTTGGTGTACTCTTTTCATCACACAGCTTGTTTCACCTAACCAAACCCATATTATATAGATTAGATCATGCATGTTTGAAAGGAGATTTAATAAATTCCTAACCTCGCACCTGCATAACACGTACGACGCCCGACCATTCACCGCCCGTTACTCAATATGCCACTCCGTTCGTCACTTTTACCATACCACACACTATTATGCTTGGCCGAGTCGGCCCTCGCTTCGGGCTAGTCCAAACCTAACTACGAGCACAGCCTTAGCTCACCAGCCAGCGACTATCAAGGATAGAGCAAGATCTCCTAGAATTTCAGAATTGCGACGCGGGAACCTTCTCGCAATCTGCACAACCTGCTCAAGTGGCCACGACTGACCGTGGAATCGCAACTCACACTTTTTCCCTTGAGTCATGGAGTTTTGCACTTGAGCTCCTACTACAGACAACGGAGATATACCAATACTTCGACGGCTCCTACCCAAGTCTGGTAACTGACACCGAAGACGCGCGGGCTAACAACAACAACAACAACAACAACAACAACAACAACAACAACAACAACAACAACAACAACAACAACAACAACAACAACAACAACAACAACAACAACAACAACAACAGCAACAGCAACAGCAACAGCAACAGTAGCAACAGTAGCAACAGCAGCAACAACAGCAACGACGACGACGACGACGACGACGACGACGACGACGACGACGACGACGATGGCGACGACGACGACGACGACGACGACGACGACGACGACGACGACAACAACGGCAACATCAACAACAACGGCAACATCAACAACAGCAGCAGCAGCAGCAGCAGCAGCTCTGGAGCTAGCCCGGTTGACTGCCAGCACTGCATGGTCGAACGCCCGCCAGCGTTGCGTAGAGGAGCCGCCCCAGCACTCCAAAAAAGGCGCCCTACCAACGCAGCAGGTCGACGGCGTGCCAACTCTGCAGCAAAGCGGATGTCCTGCGTTGCCCCCGCAACAGACAGCAGTGCACACGCTCGCAGGTGCGCGCAGATGATTGGCCCGACTTGCATTACTGTGCATCCATCAGCTGTTGTCTGGGCCAGACAAGCAACATCGACTGCGGGATACCAGCCCGAAGTCGCCTTCGCCATCGCGACCTCCTCGGACGTTCGCGTGCCTCCGCAGAACTCGTCGAGCAGGTTATCCGATCGACCTAGTCGACCACCAGGTGCCTCTGGTCGACCAGCCAGTGCCCTAGGTCGACCACAGCTCCCGTCGAGCTACCACTTGGTCGACGGACCCCTCCGTCGACCAGAACTGCCGGCTGTTGTCGCCAAGCTCCCCTTGTCGACCGCTGCTCACATCCACCTCGTCGACGGAGTGCTCCGTCGACCTCCCGGTCGAAATGCTCCTCCAGGTCGACGGCCCACCCGTCGCCCAGCCCAGTCATCTGCAGCTGTCGAGCTCCCTGGTCGATAGCTCTAGCTCCGTGACAGTCATGTGCAGGTCGACTTCCACCTCGTCGACCCGCCCCGCAGAACAAGGCCGTCGAGCACTCCGGGTCGACGACAACGCCACAGTGATCCCCTACAGCTCGACGAAGCCCGTTGAGCAGCTCCTTCACTGCGAACGGTCGGCTGCCTCTCCCATACATCCGAGTATGTTGCACGCGTTGCCCAAGCGAGAGCGGGGCCAACACTCCACGCCCGTTAACAAGTAGCATCAGCAGCAGCAGTAGCAGCAGCAAGTATAGGCATGTGAGAGGAGTCGTGTCGTTTTGATGTCCGTTTGAATATTTGAACAAGGTTTCTTCTAATCATCCAAACATTATACTATATTGCAAGCATCCAGGACATGTTTGGTGCCATTCGCAGCACGTGGTTGGAAGATCTGTTGTTTCGAACAATAGTGCAGGGAATACTGTGCAAGGAGAGGGCTGTGCGGCACCTGGTGCCGATTCGATGTGTGTTTGTTATTTTTAACATGTTATTCAAACATTCTATCAACTTGCAAGCATGACGGACATGTTTGGTGCTATTTGAAACAATAGCGCACGGAAAACTCTGCGAGGATAGGCCAGTGCGACACATGGTGTCGTTTTGACATCCGTTTGTTATTTGCTATGAGGTTTCTTTTCGCACCAAACCTGTTCTGCAATGCTAGAAATATAATAAATGCCTGAAAGATTGCAACATAGAGGACGGACGATAATTGGCACCTCGTGTCGAAGTGGCCTATCCTTGCACAGTTTACCGTCCTCATTCTGCGAAACATCATATGTTCCTACCAGATGCTGCGAATGGCACCAAACTTGCTCGACATTTCTATAAATAGTGTAAATGCCTGAATGATCAAAAGAAACCCTGTTCAAGATAACAAACGGGCGATAATTTGGCACCACGTGTCGCACTGGCGTCTCGATGCACAGTTTTCGCAGCTCAAATGTTTGAAACATCATATTTTCCTTCCAGATGCTGCGAATGGCGCCAAACTTGTTCCAAAATGCTATAAATATAGTAAATGCTTGAATGGATACAAGAAACCCCATTCAGAATAACAAACGGACGATAAGTTTGTCAGAGGTCCACTGGTGATCCCCGATTGATCCTAGGGAAGGGTTATAGGCTCGTTGTCCTGGGGGGTTATGGGCGCACTGACCCGCCACTTAACAAGCCCTTTTATCCCAATGGTCTAGTGGTTGGGATTCTGACATGCTATCAGAGCGAAGGTCTCGGGTTCGAATCCCAGTGTGTGCACTTCGGGCATCCCAGTGCGGGGGGGTGTCAGAGGTCCACTGGTGATCCCCGATTGATCCTAGGGAAGGGTTACTGGCTCGTTGTCCTGGGGGGTTATGGGCGCACTGACCCGCCACTTAACAAGCCCTTTTATCCCAATGGTCTAGTGGTTGGGATTCTGACAAAGTTGGCACCTCGTGTCGTACACGCCTACCCCTGCACAGTTTTCCCTGCTCAATTGTTTGAGACGTCATATCTCCCTACCAGATGCTGCGAATAGCACCAAACTTGTTCGACAATGCTAAAAACAGAGTGAATGCTGGACTAATCACAAGAAACCCTATTCAAAATAACTAACGGACAATAATTTGGCACCACGTATCGCACAGGCCCATCCTTGAATGGTTTTCCCTGAGAAATTGTTCGAAACATCATATCTTCCTACCAGATGCTGCGAATGGCACCAAAACTATTTGAGGATGCTACAAATAGAGTAAATGCTTGAATGATCACAAAAAGCAATGCTCAAAATAAAAAATGAAAGATAATTTGGCACCACGTGTCGCACTGGCGTATCCTTGCACTGTTTTCTCTACTCAAATGATCAAAGCATCATATATTCCTAGTAGATGCTGCGAATGGCACCAAATTTGTGCCAGGATGCTATGCATAAATTAAATGCTTGAATGGTTACAAGAAACCCTGCTCAAAATAACAAACAGGCTATAATTTGGCACCAAGTGTCGTACATGCCTATCCTTCCACCGTTTTTCCTGCTCAATTGTTCAAAACAGCAAATCTTCCCACCAGATGCTGCGAATGGCACCAAACTTGTTCGACAGTGCTATAAACATATTAATTGCTTAAACGGTAACAAAAAAATATTGTTCAAAGAACAAACGGACGGTATTTTGGCATCACGTGTTGCAGATGCCTATCCTCTCGCAATGTTCCCCGCTCAATTGTTTGAAACCACATATATTCACAACCGATGTTGCGAATGGCACCAAACTTGTTCAACAATGGTTGGAATAGAGTTTATAATCATTAATTAGCATGGAACAACAATAAAGTTTAAATTATACATAGCCAAAGATGCATAAAATTTGTTGATATCGGAACAAAACATGAGGTGGCTAGTGTTGCATTAATATGGATAATTTGTAAAAATGGACTAGGCGTACCGTTCATAGTCGGAGTACTAATTACAGTATATCGTTATAGAATCCGTAACGTATTATGATGGCTATAAATTAAAATACGGGCACGACCTATACGTATATACATTTATTGATATGCCATTTGTTTTTATTTCAACACAGCATTACATGGGGCACTCGTTGCTTCAACGATTTAATATGACATAATCTGTTAAAATCACTAGTAAACTTCAATCAATACAGCTTTGTATATACATATGCCAAATATATCTGCACTCTGAACTGTACCAACCCAGGCGCACATATTCAGGTTATTTAGGCTCGGTAACGCCCGAACCACGCAGCAAATTTTCGATTGGTCTAGGAAGCCCGAGCCACATAATTTAGCTTGGCGCAATTTCAAACTCGAGCCGCGCAAACCAAAACATACCCCCACGTAACCCCAACGAAACGGCCCCACCCAACACACGCGCGGGCTGGGGTATGTTTGGAAGTATCGCCAGCAAACATACCCCCCAAGCGATTGCATTTTTGGGATGCTCTTACTCTCCGAGTAGGGCTTGCGCGCGCCGCCAGGTCGTTACGCCACGATTGAACATTTCCCGCGAATGTATTATACAGCCTAGGCGCCACGGTTACCCTAACCTTACGCCGCGATTTCCAATAAGCGCTCGCAGCATGACCTTTCCGCTCACGCAAATTCCCAGGTCTTCCCTCACGCCTCTGCACCGCCCTCCCCTCACACCTCCGGTGCCGGCTGTCCGTCGTCCGACTCCCCGTCCCTTCATCTCAGTACCGTTCCCTTCCCTTGCTTAGAGTTCCCTTCCCTTCCCGTCCCGTCCCATCCTTTCACTCCCCTTGCCTTCCCTTCTTCCCCCCCCTTCCCCCTTATATCTTCCCTTCCTCTTATTCTCTCCTCACACGAGGTAATACCTCGGACTCTCTCCGATCTTCTCTTCTTTACTCCCTCTCTCTGCCCTCCCCCGCTTTCCTCTACTTCTCCCCTTTCCCGCATTCACACCTGCCTCACATTGGTCCGAGCCCCAAACACTCCTGTTCTCTTCCCATCACGCTCCTATACCCGTCCCCTTCCACTCACGCATCCAACCCCTTCCCTACCCCTCCCGCTTCCATTCCATGCGGCTTCCTCTTCCCTTCTCTTCCACTCCCGCATCCATTCCCTTCCCTTGACCCGTACATTTCCCGAGGGCATCACACATCCAGTCCCTTCCCCGCACGGACCCATTCCCTTGGCCGCACACTCCATTTCCTACCCCCCACTCTTCCACTCCCTTCCACTCAGGCATCCATTCCCTTCCCTGTTGACCACCCAGGTTCCTTCCCGCCCTTTCCCCCACTCCCCCACGTAAGGGGAACCCCTATTGCCCCCCGGACTATTTCCCATTTCCCGGGAGAAACTTTCCCCCCCTGTCTAAGTCCCTTTCCCCCCCTGTCATCCTCCCTTTCCCCCCCTCCTACCCTCCCTTTCCCCCCCTCCTACCCTCCCTTTCCCCCCCTCCAACCCTCCCTTTCCCCCCCTCCTACCCTCCCGTTCCCCCACTCCTATGCTCCCTTTCCCCCCCTGTCATCCTCCCTTTCCCCCCCTGTCCTCCTCCCTTTCCCCCCCTCCTACCCTCCCTTTCCCCCCCTCCTACCCTCCCTTTCCCCCCCTCCTACCCTCCCTTTCCCACACTCCACCTCGTCCGTCTCCGCACTCTCTCACGGCCATTCCCCCACTTCCCCCAGTCCAATCCCCCCTGTCGTCCTCCCTTCCCCCTGCTACCCCTGTCATCCTCCCTTCCCCCTGCCACCCCTGTCATCCTCCCTTCCCCCTGCTACCCCTCTCATCCTCCCTTCCCCCTGCCACCCCTGTCATCCTCCCTTCCCCCTGCTACCCATGTCATCCTCCCTTCCCCCTGCTACCCATGTCATCCTCCCTTACCCCTGCTACCCATGTCATCCTCCCTTCCCCCTGCTACCCCTGTCATCCTCCCTTCCCCCTGCTACCCCTGTCATCCTCCCTTCCCCCTGCTACCCCTGTCATCCTCCCTTCCCCCTGCCACCCCTGTCATCTTCCCTTCCCCCTGCTACCCCTGTCATCCTCCCTTCCCCCTGCTACCCCTATCATCCTCCCTTCCCCCTGCCACCCCTGTCGTCCTCCCTTCCCCCTGCCACCCCTGTCATCCTCCCTTCCCCCTGCTACCCCTGTCATCCTCCCTTCCCCCTGCCACCCCTGTCGTCCTCCCTTCCCCCTGCCACCCCTGTCATCCTCCCCCCTGCTACCCCTGGAGCCAGAAACGGACCCCAGCCACGCTGCAGCATCTGCAGCTGCTGCCGCTGGTGAGCGTGCTTCTGCAGTGCAATCATCGACTCAAACGCCCGCACTTTAGCCGACACAGTGCTCATGCGCACACCAGACCGCAGCGACGGATGCACGGAGGAGCGCAGGAACGGCCGCGATGGTGACGACGAGGGCGATGGGGACGACGGTGCAGCGGATAGTGCAGAAGGAGGTGCGACTGCAGGCGCAGCAGGTTAAATCTCAGGTGCAATGACAGGTGAAAGTGGAAGTGCAAGTGGTGATGATGATGAGGCCAGAGATGGAATTTCAAGCAATGCTTTCTCTGTCGTCTCGCTTTCCACCACTCCTTCCGCTTCACTTCCCTTTCCTGCCTTGTCCATCTCTCCCGCTCCCCCTCCTCCCTCCATCGCCTTCTCGCCTGGTACTTGAGCATCCTCCCCCACAGTATGAAGCATGCCAGATGCGGCAGAGGCAGCAACAACAGCAGCAGCAGCAGCAGTAGCCGTAGCAGCAGCAGCAGCAGCAGCAGCAGCAGCAGCAGCAGCAGCAGCAGCAGCAGCAGCAGCAGCAGCAGCAGCAGCAGCAGCAGCAGCAGCAGCAGCAGCAGCAGCAGCAGCAGCAGCGATAGAAGCCGAGGAAGCAGCATCACCTACTCGCCTCTCCTCCTGTCGCACCTGCTCCGCTTCCCTGCTATCCTCTTCCTGCGTCCCTTCCAAGTGTACACCCTCCCAGCCTCTGTATTTGTTCGCCCACACACCTTGCTCCCTCTTTCCTTTGCACTCGCACACACCTCTCCATCTGTCCATTGCTCTCTCACACACCCAGCTCCATCTGTCCGCCGCACACGCTCTCCTCTCTATCCCTCTGTCGTTCCTAAACTCCGATATCCCCTAGCTCACTATGTCCTCCAATCACTCTCCACCCGTGCCCCTTCTCCGTCCTGCCGGGATTAGGTCCTTTGCTCAACCCGCCTTGCCCTCAGCGACACCTTAGCCTTGCGTCCCCCGGCATGCATTCGCGTCCCCACCACTCTCGTGTGGAAGAAGGGGGGGAGACTGAAGAGAAGGAAGAGTAGTAACATGAGAAAGAGGAGGAAGAGGAGGAAGAGGGGAGAGAGGAGGTGGTAGTGAAGGAAGTGTTTTGTAATGGTACCACGGTAGCCATCTGATCACGACCCAGAGATTGGCAACGTGCGTTTGTTCGGAGTGGTTGTGTAACCGGAGATCACAGAACATCCGTTGATACATCGATTCTTACGATGATGATTGGAAAAAAAGCCGTACAAGTTATATAATGCAAGCCGGTGGCATAAAACACACAGTGAAAATGATTCATGCGACAAGTATGGTGGCAATGGTAACATGGAAAGACTACGGAAGTCAAGCTCACAATGGCTCCCTTTAGTCAGTTACTGTGGCGGTCGTACAAGACACCTCATGGGCGATGCCCCCCAATGTTAGATCAGCTGTGCCTGGTGTTGACTAGGACCAATTCAGTGCTCGAGACTAAGAAACACACGGGGCATGCATATAGTAGCCAACGGAGCACCCATATCCCCGGCCCCTAGGCTCTCTCATCCCGTCCCTGCAATGCCACTCTTGATGTGCTTTCTTCTTCCGCTCCACACTGCCCCCGCTCTGCTCTCCCCCCTTGTCCTCCCATTTCCTTCCGTCTGCCTCCCTGCCGTCTCTTCCCAACCGGGAAAACGAGTGGAGATAGAGACAGGAGGGTGAAGGGAGGGGGGGAGGTTGAGGGAGGGCGAATGAATGGGGGAGCACGAGCGAGGGAGAATGAATGGGGGAGAGCGGGGGAGGGAGAATGAGAGGGGGAGGTCGAGGGAAGGAGAATGAATGGTGGAGCGCAAGGGATGGTGAAGGAGAGGGGGAGGTTGAGGGAGGGTGAATGAATGGGGGAGCACGAGGGAGGGAGAATGAGAGGGGGAGAGCGGGGGAGAGAGAATGAGAGGGGGAGGTCGAGGGAAGGAGAATGAATGGGGGAGCGCAAGGGAGGGTGAATGATAGGGGGAGGTTGAGGGAGGGTGAATGAATGGGGGAGCACGAGGGAGAGAGAATGAGAGGGGGAGAGCGGGGGAGGGAGAATGAGAGGGGGAGGTCGAGGGAAGGAGAATGAATGGGGGAGTGCAAGGGAGGGTGAATGATAGGGGGAGGTTGAGGGAGGGCGAATGAATGGGGGAGCATGAGCGAGGGAGAATGAATGGGGGAGCACGAGGGAGGGAGAATGAGAGGGGGAGGTCGAGGGAGGGAGAATGAATGGGGGAGCGCAAAGGAGGGTGAAGGAGAGGGGGAGGTTGAGGGAGGGTGAATGAATGGGGGAGCACGAGGGAGGGAGAATGAGAGGGGGAGAGCGGGGGAGGGAGAATGAGAGGGGGAGGTCGAGGGAAGGAGAATGAATGGGGGAGCGCAAGGGATGGTGAAGGAGAGGGGGAGGTGAGTGAGAGGCAGAGGTGAGTGAGTGGCGGAGGTGAGTGAGAGGCGGAGGTGAGTGAGTGGCGGAGGTGAGTGAGTGGCGGAGGTGAGTGAGTGGCGTGTCAGAATGTGATGTTTGTCTAGCCTGCAGTGGGGTACTCTATAGCGAGTACAGCCCAAATTAGGGTTTGCTGTATGTACTCAACTGCCTGCTAGTGAAAACCCCTTCTTTCCTGTTTCTGATTCTTGCCTATAGTTTCGACATGGCGGAGGTGAGTGAGAGGCGGAGGTGAGTGAGTGGCGGAGGTGAGTGAGTGGCGGAGGTGAGTGAGTGGCGGAGGTGAGCTGCGATTGCGTCCCCGCCTGCCCATGCATCTCCGTCTGCCCATGCAACTCCGCATGCCCGTAGGTTGCAATGACGCCCCTAAAGTCGCGACCTAAGAGTGTCGCAAAGCGCTGCGGGGAAAATTACGACCTATTCGCGACGCGATGAGCCGCGCGACTCACATCGACCTAAGGTCGACATAGGCATCGTCTGCGCTGCGAACGCGCGACCTGCATGGCATGCGAGTGCGACGGCGCAAAAAGCCCGAGGCACCTCGCGAGGCAATGCGCGAGGCGTCCCGCTCCGATTACCTTCCGCGCATATTGCCTACGCTTACGATACGGGCGCCGATTTTTTACTTTATCTTCACGAGCGTCCCGCTTGTAAATTCCTATCTTCCCTAGTCCATACCTCTATATTATCCGGCAATGTCGCTATCTCCGGCGCTTACCTACATTAGCCGTTTGTATTTTGCGAATTGCGCGTACGTGCGATGCGGTATGTCGGCTTGTAGGCAGTCTAAGCGTGTCCTATAGTGGTTCTCAAAACTCGGGAATAATCAGAGGCGTTGTGGGACAAGTTTCTCTTGCCTGTGTGCTCATGTCTAAGCAGGATTGGTGTTGGGCGACAAAACCGTGCGATGAGGCCCAACTGGGGTGTTGTCGTTGCTACAGTATTTTCGTTTGGTGATTGAAGGCGACGTGGTTTGTGGGTGTCAACCAAGGCTCAGCTGGAAACAGGGTTACACCCAACCATCCTTAGGAAGGATGAACCAATTTCGCCTTTCTTGACCCCCGGGTTTTAACAAACCGATTGCAGATTATCCCGAATTGAGGCTGTGGAATATTGCTGAGCGGGACACTTCAGATGAGACCTTTGACGTGGTAGCTTCGTATTCGTCACTGGAGCATGACGGGCTGGGGAGATATGGCGATCCGCTAAACCCAAATGGGGATCTGCAAAGAATGGCGAAGGTATTACCCTGAGTTGTTTGATGCCATGGGCTGGGTGCGGTTTTCATGGTTTGCTTCCCACGTGTTTCCTCTCAGCTAGTCTTTACTGCATCCTGCCAAGCCAAGTCTTTGCGTCAGCTGATGCGTGCGTGCCCTTACTCTGTCCTGATACCCTTAGTAAGCCATCTCCTCTCACATCATTATGCTGCCATGTCCTCAAGAATCTCCTCCCTTTCTGCTGTTAAAGCCGCCTCAAACATCCCCACTGCGCCCTGCCATCCCTCCCAAGCCATGCGTTCCCTTGTCCTTTGACATTTTTCCTGCGCTGCCACGTCCCAGACCTTAGATGCTCCCATGTCCGTTAACATTTTCCGTAGCTGCCATGCCCTCCTCCCCTTGCAGCTTCGCAGATAAAGGGCCTTTCGAATCCGCTAGGCCCCTTCTTCCTAGGTGTCCCAGTGGGCAACGACACGCCGGTGTTCAATACTCACCGCATGTACCATCTTCTCACATCTCATGCATTCCCTTCCCCTCCTCCCATTCGCTGGCATCCCCTCCTCCCCTTCGCTGGTCCCAACGCTCATAGGTCAGCTCCCATATATCCTTTGCTGGCATGTCCTCTGGCACGCCCCTTGCGCCTGTGCACATCAAGGGGCTTGCCAGTCCGCGACGACGCTTCCTCTTGGGTCTCCCTGTGGGCAATGAGATGCTGATGTCCAATACTCAGCGCACATACCATCTGTCTCACATTAAATTCGTTTCCATTTCCTGGAATCTCCCCCATTCGCTGGCATCCCCTCCTCCCCTTCGCCGCAGCGCAGATCAGGGGGCTCCTGAAGCCAGGAGGGCTCAGTCTCCTGGGAATCCCAGTGGCATGTTCAATACGCGCCAAGTGTCCCCTCTCCTCACATGATGGCCTTTGAATCGACTCAAAAATCGCATGTACCATCGACTCGCGTCTTCCCATGCATTCCATTCATCGCATGCCATTTGCCGTTTTCCATTCGCTTGCACGTTCTCTGACGTCTCCGCCCCTTTCGGCTACCCAGGTGGACGCCTCCTCCTGGGTATCTGGTGTTCAATACTCGACGCATGCACCGCCTCCCTACATCTCATGCATTCCCATTCCCTGGCATCTTCTCCCCCCTTCTGCTGCTGCGCAGATCAGGGGTCTGCTGAAGCCAGGAGGGCGCTTCTTCCTGGGAATTCCCAGTGTCCATTGCTCAATGCGTGAACCGCCTTGGCACATCTAATGCATTCCGATTCCCTGGCATCCCCTCCTCCCCGTTGCTGCTGCGCAGATCAGGGGTCTGCTGACGCCAGGAGGGCTCTTCTTCCTGGGGCTCCCAGTGGGAAACGACACGCTGGTGTTCAATGCGCATCGGGTGTACGGTCCCATCCGCATGCCGCTGCTGCTCGAGGGATGGGAGCTGCTGGACGTGTTTGGGGTATCCAGTCTCGAAACAGCTTACAGGGAGAACCTGAATTCTTCCATCATACAGCCGGTCATGGTGTTGACGTAGAGGAGAGGTTTCTGAACGCAGCTGTGCATACGCTGCCACAGCAATGCAAGCTCTTGCCAGAGTAAACCAAACTCTCAATGCACGGCTACCTAACGCTGAAGGGGGGTATCTTTCTCCTCATTTTCTCCACAGGCAACCACCAGGTCTGGCTTTATGAAAGTGTCAAGTACTGGTACATATGTATGTACAGGCTGCGGCTTTTCAGCGGGGACAACTATGCTTGCTGAGAGGTCCCATTAGCTCTTGAGCAGGGCTCAGGCATGTTGACGTCAGTTTTTGCCTTGTCGTGCTCACAAGGGCGATGCAGCTGTAGCTGACGCCAGGAGAGGAGTGGAGAGCAGCGCAGGAGCAGTTTTTTGTGCCTTCATCGTACCCCAGTACCCCATTGGTACCGCAGTGGCCAGCTGGAACCCACCGTGGTCACTAGAGGTACTAAGGGGGTTGTTGTGGTGGTGGTAGAACTGGCTTTTGAGTGGTAAAGG